TTTACAAGCGTAGCCAAAATAATTCTTTACAACTTAAAAGCTTACGATTTTACGCTTTTGGGTCACCCAAACGCTTCTACGTAGAATTGTGTTTTTGACTGTATTGAATGGTTCTATATGGTTCATGTCATTATCTTAATTATAAGGATTAATACCGATTATTACAAATATTACTTATTCCTATCTATATCTATAACCCACGTCATCTTCTTTTCATTTTAGTTTTGAGTTTGTTGGACCAAAGTAACAAAAATAAATACGAAAGAAAAGTCTAAAATAAATACGTACAAGTAATTAGTCCAAACAAATAACACATAAATTAAAATAATTACACAAGCGAATTGCAAGACATGACTAACGTTTGTGTAGTTGCACTAAAACCCTCCACTTTAAAAAAGGAAACCATCAAGTATTAAAGTAGCTGAAAGAAAAAGAAAAAAAGGTAAAATTGCACAACACAACTTTCCCTCCGATTTGGAGGGTAGCTTGGTACAGTGTTTTTTCTTTTCCTTTTCTTTCCTTGGTTACTGTTCCAGGTCTACAAAAACAGGGGAAAGCATCTGGGAACTTGTGCTTCCCCTCTAATCCCTCCCCTCCCCTCCCTTTCCCTCCTTCATGAACATAGTGTTAATGTTCCCTAGAAAACCCTTTCAATTAATGTATTTGGGGAATATGTCTCTGCTTTCCTTTTAATTGATGTTCCCTATAAAAAGCCTTTTCAATCTCCATCGACTCCAAGATATCAGCACGCTTTGTATGTTGCCCGTTTTATGACCGGTTTGTAATATCGGTTAATTACGACCGATAAACATTGAACCTCTCACTAATTCGGATCGATGTTCGGTCAGGTTTGGACAACATTGGAAAGAAGTCAGGTGTGGTGGGTAGAGTCGGCCGATGGCATGTTTAGGGTGGTTTGGTCAGCAACTCAATGTACACATGTTAATTTTATATTCATAAAAATTCACTATTTACCCTATCTCTAAAGGAATAGATTAAGTATGAATCTGACTATCAATTCATATTTTTCACGTATATAGATTGTTTGGGAACTAATGGAAACTTGGATGTAGCATAAAAGTTTTAGGGGTTGTTTGCTTCATGGATTTAAAAATAAGGATTTTGGTTAAAATAGGGGTTTTGGTTAAAATCAGGATTTTATAAAATCAAGAATTTGGAATGTTATTGTTTTCATCTAAACTGCTTGTGAGTATGAGATATCATTGACTTTATTGTCCTTGTTTAGAATTGTTTGTTTGTTATTGTTTCCATCCAAACAAAGCAGTTTAGAAATTCCTTTGTACCTCTCAAAGCTTTCAAGAGCTCAAAGGAATTATATATGCAAACAAATAAGGACTCAATAAAAGATTTGAAATATTGAACATAAATTAATCTTCCTTATTATATGATCAAGATCTATCTCTAAAATCTATACCAAAAGCCTATGTATCGGAAGTGGCATTGATTGGTTAATTGATCCACGGTGATTACGTCATACTAGACATATCAAATGAACGTGTGTGAGATTGTTAGGATGAGCTCATACTAATTATTGCAGTGAGGTGGTTAGGATGAATTGGCTTAGGGATAAATTAGGTACGTTGTCGATAGATGCTACCCCAGAGACTATAGAGCATGTTGCACGAGCTTATGCTACACTCATATATTCGAGTATATGGAGAGAATGAGAGCGAGAAATATCCAAACCTCGATCAGCTGTGCCCTTGAGATAGCGCAAATTGTGCTTAAGCGCAGCCCAATGATTATCCGTGGGTGAATGTTGAAATTGAGAGACGTGATTGACAGAGAAGGATATATAAAGCCTGGTGAAACTAAGGTATTGGAAACGCCCAACCAGACTTCGGTAGAGAGTTGGATTAGCGAACATGGGCGAAGTGGCGAGGGAACTTTGCTGGATAATGTCAATGGTAGATAAAGTAGATATGGCATTAGTAGTCGTCATTTTTGCCCGGCCAAGAAGCTCCTGTATTAACTTTCTCTGGCCAAGAACAATGGGGAAGTTGGACTGATGGACCTCGATGCCCAAGAAATAGGAGAGAGGGCGGAGTACTCTATGCTCACGTTCTCTCTCTCTCTTGTTTGTGCTATCGTTTGGCTTGCTGTTAGTGGCCCTGCACATTCTCTGTTCTGTTGGTTCTGTTCTTTATATACCGCTGCCATATGTATTAAAAATACCATTATACAATAATACAAACTTAGTGATTGTTGAAGCTTTTATGGTATCAGAGCTATCTTATACTCTACCGAGTCATCTCCCTTTTTTTTCCCTCTCTTATTCCTTTTTCATGCTACATAATGTCAACTGAATCTCCTCAATTGTCCACCACGGCTGGCCTCTGTTTTCTTCTGCACCGGCCCTTGCTCTTCCTACTAATCTGCAACTCCCAATAAAGCTCACTTTGAACAATTACCTTCTCTGGCAAGCTCAGCTTCTTCCTATTCACGGGTGTCATTGTCTCATGGGGCATGTTGATGGCACAACTCCGACAACTCACCAAATCTCTTCCGAACCTCAATCGAGGTACATATTCCATTCATTCTTATCTTCATAGGGCAAAGACTGCTGCAGATCAATTGGCCGTGCTAGGGGCGCCTGTCTCTACTGACGATCTCGTGAGCTGGATCCTTGATGGACTAGGAGAGTAGTATCGACCGTTCACCCGCAATATTGAAGCCAAGATGGAGCCCGTTACCTTTGAAGATTTTCATTCCTTGTTGCTGAGCGAAGAGTCGTAGCTGTAGAAGTATTCATCGCGTCTGGATTCGTCGGCGCCGTCGACCTTCTTCTCGACCGCCGGGGGAATTCAGGGCCGTGGCGATCGTGGGCGTGGTCGCCCCGCTTCCCGACAAGGCGACTCCTCTAATCTTCTTTCCCTTCTAGGAGGTTAACTAGTCCAAAATCTGGAGTGCTTGGGTGGCCAAAAAATCAACATGTGGTCTGTCATAATTGCGGTGGGCGTGATCATATTCGCTCTAATTGCCCAGTCCCAATCTTCTCCAGTGGCCCAACCCCTCCTGCCGCCCCCAGCTCCCATCATTCCTCTTCCTTTGGCCCGTCTCGCCCTCTCTCTGGTCCTCATGCCCATATGGCTTCCAGTCCAGCCCAACCTTTTAATCCACAGCAATGGCTCCTTGATTTGGATACCAATCATCATCTAACATTAGATTTGGACAATTTAGGCCATCACTCCGAATACAATGGCGATGATCAGGTCATGTTTGGCAACAACAACTCTCTTCCCATTACTCACTCTGGTTCATCTCGTGCTTACTTATCTCATATGTCTCTTACTTTGAAAAATATTCTCAGCGTCCCAATTGCTCCATACAGCCTGCTTTCTATTAGCTCTCTCACTGGCACTAATCCTATATCCGTTGAATTTTTCCCTCTCATTTTGTTATCAAGGACCGTCGCATATCGACTGAGTTATATCGAGGCCTCGCTGCGGATGGACTCTACTCTTGATGGTAGTGGACCGGTTTACTAAATCTGCATTTTGTTTTTGCTTGAAGCATCCCTACACCGTTGCGGAAGTTGCCCAAGTGTTCTTCGATGACGTTTTCAAATATCATGGGATGCCTTCCACCATTGTTTGTTATCGAGATTTCCACCTTCATGAGCGATTTTGGACTGGGTTCTTCAGTCTCCAATAGACAGACATCTACTATTCCACAACTTATCATCCACAAACCAATGACCAAACTGAAACGATAAAAAATGAACATAAAATTAAGGTTATTGATCTGACTGAGTCGTGGACTAGTTCGTCCTCTTTAAGGCGTTTGCGACACTACCTCGTTATGTGCACAACAGACTATTAGTCAGTCGCCTCCAGGATAACACAACCACTCTCGTTGCTCGACAGATTCGTGCAAAAACCGAAGTTCTCTGAATCTCACTCTCTCTTGTAGGGCTGTTAGTGGTGCGGTTTCGGTTTTAACCGAACCGCAAAGTCGGTTAGCCGACGCCGAGAAGGAGGTGAAATCCCCAACCGTCACCGTCACCGACACCGACTGCACTATTGGTTAGCCGATAACCGCAGCCGACGGTTTCGGTGGGATGGGCGGTTAGCCGAGAAGGCCTGGAAATTGGGGAGTCGGAGCGACGGGCAAGGTGAGGATGTGGACGACGGCGATTTGTGTGATTGGACTGATGCGCGGCGGAGTGGGGATGTGAATGGCGGCGCTTCAGTGGTGGTGTCTGGTGTGGGCGCTCCTTGCCATGCTCATGCATGTCACTGGAAGTCAAAGAGGTAGAGGAAGAAGGCCATGGCAGATTTCGATGTGAAGGACTAAGGCGAGCCTGCGATTCCGATTAGAGACGGCAAGGTAGACGAGGCGGCGTCGACGACTACGAGATGGATTTATTGGCGTCGTCTACGAGGGTTTCGCAAGCAATTTTGCAGTCTCGCAAGTGCCGCCGTCGGAGCAAAGATAAGGGGTGGCGAGGTCAGAATTTGGGAGAATTGAGATGGAAAGGATTTAGGGTTTGTGTGGGATTTTGGTGGAGAAGGGGAGGCGAGGACGATTTAGAGGAAGGAAAGATGTTGGCTTTGAGTTAGAGGAAGATTTGATGTCTGGATCGGAAGGAAGGAGCTGGGCGGAGAGGTAGAGGAAGGTGGGGATCGGGAGGATGAAGGAGTTGGGGGCAGCGAGAGATCAAAGGGATGGTTGGTCGGTTAGATCGGTTAGCAACCGATAATCGTCGGTTAGCAACCGATAACCGCCGGTTAGCGAATAACTCCAAATGGGTCAACCGACACCGACACCGAGATCTTATTTTTCGATTTTCGGTTAACCAATAAACCGATCTTTCGGTTCGATTTTTCGATTGGCCGACTAACCGGTCACCGATTATCACCCCTACTCTCTTGTATTTATGCTCTGCAAATTGGTGTATAAAAAAGGTTGATAGTTCTCTATTTATAGAAGCAGAAAACTCATAATATTGTCTTTTCCATAAAGAATGAATAACGTGTAATTATGTCCACAATTAAAATACGTTCTGTTAAGAAAGGATACTAAATAATTAATTCAAAATAGGTATTTATGCCGTGACATGGCCTGTGCTTCTCCTGCAATAAAAATCATACTATACAAACAAGAAGCGGCAGAAGCAATGTAGTATGAGGCAAGTATACTGGCTCACAAATTACATTGCTTATTTTCCTGCATATAAAACTGATTGTCGCCTTGACAGAACCAGTACACAGTACTCACAATTTGCACCATAGCTAAAATGGTTTTATGTGCTGCGCTTCTCGAGCGGTCATATACAATATCATGACTCCATTATAGACAAGCTTAATCATATATTCAAATATGAACAACTCTAAGGCATGAAGAAGATAATTCAACCTCAAGTCCAGCCGCCTGTCATTGGCAATTGTCTGCCTTTAACCATAGCATTTGATTGGATCGTTGCAGCCCTTTTCAGTGGACTGCTTGAAACCAAAACGCCCTCCTTTAGCAAGGTACTGCTGGTGGTATTCTTCAGCTCGGTAAAACTTCTTGGCTGGCAAAATCTCCGTGACTATCTTCCTGTTGAAGAGTTTCTGATGTCGTTCCATCGACTCCTTTGCAGCTTTCTCCTGCTCTGGTGTGTAGTAGTATATCCCGGATCTGTACTGTGTTCCCACATCATTTCCCTGCCAGCATCGACCACCAACACATATCAGATTCAGCGACAAGTTCAGATAATTAGTGAATAACAGTACCATTACAGTTTTAGAGGAGAAAACTGGATGGTGATATGGAAGGGCATTGAAACAAGAAGTGTAACGCTTTTTCGCCGTACTTGAACAGAATGGCCTGATATCACCAGCCCTACAACTTCTATGATCCTATGTCCAGTGATACAAGAGGAACCAACATTGAGAGCATAGCCGGAGAGGCATTCTGAACAACCAGAAGCTGCTAATTTTCACGAGACCGATATCAAGTTGTGTCCATTCCTAAGCGGTTACAAGGAGCTACCGAGTTTATCTATCAACACTGAGCCAAGCGCTTAAAATACGAAAAATTGGAGCTATAGCAATCCAATCTAACTGATTCCTTTGCATCAGCCAGCGGGGATTTCAGCTTACAGAATTCATTCTCTACCATACCAAAACTAGATATCCAGCTATCTCTTCAAGGACTCACAAGCTTCCCCTAAAATAGATGTAGATCACATCCAACAACCACAAAAACAGACGTGACCGAGTTCTGCAACCAGAGATATTCTAACGAGCCTCAAGACCTGCTAACCATCTGAAGAACAATACAAGAAAATTTAACCCCGATTCAACTACAACCGATAAACAAAAAAGATACAAACAAACCTGTCGATTCATTGTAGTCGGGTCGTGTCTAGCCCAGAACACATCGAGCAGAGCTTCGTAGCTACACTCTTTCGGATCAAACTGAACCCTAACCACCTCAGAATGGTTGGTAGTACCGGTACAGATGTCCTCGTATGTGGGATTGTGGAGGAGACCCTGAGAGTACCCGACCTCGGTCTTGGTAACGCCGGAAACCCTCTGAAACGCCAATTCGACTCCCCAGAAGCACCCAGCTCCGAATTGGGCGAACTGCTGGCCAGGGGCAGGTACATCATCGTCTGGGCTCTGGGGAATCGTCGGGTCCATGGTGGACGGGTCGGGCGACCGGAAGCCGAAACCGAGTTTGTTGAGGATGTTCATCGTGGGCTGGGAATAAGAGATGGGTCTGGAAGATTGAGGGAGGGAGAAGGGGTTTTTAGTGAAAAGTTTGAGTCTTTTGGGGAAAGCGAGGAATGGGTTGGAAAGAGCGGAGGAAGAAGAGGCGGTGGCGGTGGCGGAGGCGGGGAGTACAAGGACCGGCGAGGTGGCGGTGGGGGAGACGGCTGCTACTTTGTGGAGCATATTTCGTCCTTTTGGCTGTGTGAGTGACGTGTCCGGTTAAAAGTTATTTGCGGGGGATTGAGAAGATACGTAAAGGGCTGGTAATCGGTCGGTATCCGGTATACCGGATAACATTGTGTACCCATCGAATACCGATACCGAATGTTATCCGGTATACCGGATACCGAGTATTCGGTATCCGGTATTAATACCGGTATACCGAATACCGATTAATGCATTGAGATTATACCATTAGAATTCGAGATAAAGAAACTGACGATAGCATTGGAGATTAACTAATTGGAATCCAATTGAAGTTTATTGTGAATACTTGGAACTTGAAGCATTGGAACTGACCGACGCTCAAAGCATCCCCTTGGTGATAAGGAGAATTTGAGTTTAGGCAAAAGATTAGATAGTAGTGGTGGCGGCGGTTGGTGGAAAGCGATTTGCGGCCGATAAAGAAAGGGCGGGATGAATGTCCTGGGGGAAGACCGCCGGGGCGTGCTGTGGTGGTGCTGGAATTCGCCTCGGCGGGCTGGAGAAGAAGAGTTGAAGTCGAACAGAGGAAAGGTGGAGGGGCCGATGTGCTGGGCTGCGCAGATGTTGATTTAATTTTAGGGTTTACACGCCCCCCCCCCCCCCAACCTCCCAATTTCAAACGCTGTCGTTTCCTTTTTTTATTTTTGTTATTCGGTATTCGGTATACCGATTTACCGTCGGTATATGACTGGTCGGTATTCGGTATACCGTTTGGCCAAGAAGTGCAGCCGAATACCGATACCGACGGTATTCGGTATACCGAATACCTATTATAATCGGTTCGATACCCGGTATACCGAATACCGGTTTACCGAATACCAGCCCTAGATACGTTGGCCGGAAGGAACTAGAGAAATTTCTTGGAAGCACCCGGTGCACTACCTAACCTATGCACCACCCCAATCAAAACATGCCACGTAATCAAATTAAATATTCAGAATTTAGAATTAAAATTATAGAAGACAACAAGGTTATCAATCCGATTTAACCCGTTTGCACAATCGAACAAGCGGGTTAGATCAGGTTCTTAAGGCCTCTTTTTTAAGGAAGATCTTAAACCCCTTCAAGCCAATAGGAGAAGGAGAGAAAGTGATAAGTAATGATTGGCAGGTTATTAGTTAGATAATTATTAAGGGTAAACTTGGTATTATGAAGAAAATTAATAGTTACTAAAAACAAGAAAACAAGAAAAAAAACCCTAAACTTTTCAACCTCCCGTCCGCCAAAAGCGATAAGCAGCAGCGGTAGTATGAGGGACTCGTCCAGCCGAAGTCGGCGCCGCCATCTACCATCCCAACGCAGCCCGTCGTCTTGGTATCTTCTATCCCGTGACCGAAGGCGACATCGTCGTCCTCATCGTCAGTCCGTCGCGGACCGGCACCACTTCGTTCGCCATCTCGCCGTGAACGTAGCCGCCGGTCGAAAGTTTGAAGGAGAGAGGAACCAATAGGGGGAACTCGCTAATAAACTCCACCCCACGTATACGCTTCCTATTTCCGGCCGCATTGTTGCTTCCAAAACCCCTAAATTGCATCCCAACCACGTCTCCACCTTCGACGATTCTGTTGACCGAATGTGTTGTGCATAGGTAGAAAATGTTAATAATTTGGGTTAAGAAAATTAATAACAGTTCAAAAAGTTATTGATATATGTTGTTGTACACTAGCGTAATAGCACATGACAATTTTGTTGACAATTGTTTGATAAAAGGTTGATAATTCTATAACCTGTTTTTGTTAACATTTTTATGATTGCTGAGGTGCTATTATTGTTAATAATAATTGGCATGCACTAGTACGAGAGTGCAAAAAAAGGAACGCTTAAACATTATTAACGACAATGCATAAAAATATTAATGTTTATGTTATGTATTATTAATAGTTTTGTTCACTTTATGAATAGCATAAGTCTACTTTAAATATTTAGTTCCGAGTTTAGAATCAAGAATTTTACTAGCATTATCAATACAATACACTTTTTTCTTAAGCATATATATTGTGGTTCTAAGTTAGTAATTATTATTTTTAAGTAAGTTCACAATTTTATTTATGAAATGCTAGCAATATTTGTGCATATCATTACTGATACCTTGCAAGAAACGTTAATAATAATGATTGTATAGTGTGCATTATCTGCATAAATAGTTGATAACGTTATGTTGCATTGTAAACAATTCTCCGAAAAATGTTAATACTTTTATTATTGATAATTTTTAAATTTATATTATTTACGTTGTATTTCATTAATAATACATCGAATAAAATTTTAACAATACCTCGCATAAAAGTTGATAATGTTTGAGCACATTGTTGACAATTGTCCAAAAATTATTAATAATTTTTATTACTTGTCAATATTAATGATTTTGTATACCTTTTGCATAAACGTTGAAAACATCTGCCACGTTGTATAAACATTGATAACGATAAGTTAAATCGTTAACAATTGGTCTAAAAACCATTAGTATTTCAATGTACGTTTACATCCCACACAAATCCACCATCAACCCATTAACAATTGAAGTTACGATTCGGTACCTAAAACGTCAATATTGATAACAAAAATGTTACTAATTTAACAATAAAATGTTAATAGTGATAACAAAAACATTACAAACTGACATATAAAACGTTACTAACTTAACAATAAAAGATTATGAACGGGTAACAAAAACGTTAATAATGGTAATAAAACATATTGGTAACTAAGAACGTGTCCATCTTCCTCAAGGGATCCAAAACACAGACGAACAAACTCTCTGGACTGTCCTTCAGTGATGATGATGATAAGCTTCTTTGATGACCTTGATTGACGAAGACATCGACCAGAAAACGACATGGCATGATGGCAAGCGGCGGCGACGGAAGAATCAGAAACGGCAAGCAACAACGGCCAAAAAACGGACCATCTACATGGACTCCCCTTTAGCTGCAACGTCGACCTCAGGCGACAACCGGACGGAGAAGGGACGACAACCGGACGGAGACCTCAGGCGACAACCGGACGGAGACCTCAGGCGACAACCGGACGGAGAAGGGACGACAGACGGAGAACTAGGGACGACGGCCGGAGAACTCTCGGGACGGAGAACTAGGGACGACGGCCGGAAATACTTGTGACTTGACGTTTCGCCTGCCTGCTTGCGGGAGGAATAATGAGCAGACGAAAATAAAGAGAGACGTGGGCGGGTTAGGGTTTTTGAAAAAAAGAGACAACCTGTTTAATTTAATTGTAGTCTCCTTAATACCCCTAACAACTATTTAACTAATAACTCCCTACTAACTACCTAAATTTGAGTTAGCCAATCACAAGGATTTAAGTTCCTCCTTAAAAAAGAGGCCTTAAGGACCTGAACTTTGAGCGGTTCGATCGTTTTGACCGGTTTAGACTGTATATATGAAAAAAGTTATTATAGTTTTCATGTTTATATATATAATATCAAATCTCAATTAACATATTGGTAATGACATATAACATTACACTAAAATAATAGTTCGTATTTGGATCCAACATGTAGTAAAAATTCAAACACAATCATATAACATTAATATTCAAATGTTCAATTTAGAATTCTAAAGACATGGTTAGGCGAATGGGAAAACTAGAAAAGAGGCGCAATTCACAAACAAAGAGAAAAAAGACGACTTGTGAACTCCAACCCGAAAACCTTGTAGTGGGTCGAATCGCGAGAGAGTGGCGCTAGTTGTTTTATAAGGACAGAGCTCCAGTTTAACTTTAGGGTTGACCCGAGGGTTAACAAGCTTGGAAGAAAGCCCTTATATTGGGCATGGGACAACGACAAACAGAGATTTTCTGGCGCTGGTTTATATTCCATCCGAGCAAAGTACTCTTCGTGCATCTCCTACCAATAATAATTTTCTTCGATTATTGAGAGAATTAAGCATAACATATGCAATTCCTCGAAATACATCTTGTCAGATTATCAAAGGTTATTGGAATACTTGGATTCAAGTAGATTGATTGCCAAGGTCTTGATGCGGAATATGAACATCGATCTGGAACGGGATGATACTCATAAAGCACGATCATGAGGTTTTATGATCTTCCTCAACAAAGCCGCCTTAGTTACACTCACGAGAAACCTCTGATCTTCTTGATGGGGAGAAAAAGAGAGTGTTTTGATCTAAGAGTGTTGGGAGTCACAACCTTTAGCACTTTTATATACAAGTTTTCCCATGGGCTCCCATAAAACCGAAGGTGGATATGTAGGGGGTTTCCAATCATTGGACTCATATTGGCTTTAAGTAGTCATGGGCTCCATGTATTGACCACTTGTAGTTAGCCCATCAAAACCAAATAACAAATACATGTGTTGTGAATTGATAGCCCACTTACGATAGAAAGTAAAATTGTTATCTTTAATAATTTTGTAATTTTTTCTTTGTTAAATACTAAAATTTTAGAATATTTACCTCCACGTGTCTCTTTCAAGTCATTATCATGTTGTCAAATCAATATTAATAACAAAATTGCAACGAGAAGTTAACATTTAGCTAAAATCATACTCGCCCCATATCAATTAAATGTTTAGTGAGTTTTACCCATACCCGTCCCATACCCGGTCAATGCGGGGATTCCTCGCGTTGACTAGGTTGAGAGCGGTCGGGTACCCACGGTAACGGGTACCCGAAGCTACGCCTAACAAATCTGAGCTATCTCTCGGTAGTATTTTATTTATTGTCTTTAAGTTAGACAATCCATGGATTTCCTCCCACGCCTCGTCCTTTCTTTAATGCCTTTGAGCTAGACGAGGCATGGACTTTCTAGTTTTCAGACCAATGAGGCTCGATTGGACAATCTTCTCCCTAATTATCGGGAGGTAATTCGAGGGAGGCACCATAGTTAGTGTCATGAACCATAGGTGGTTCATACACTTTAACATGCAAGGTACACACCATCTCCTTGGAATATCTTTTGCTGTTAGGCGATAGCGAGTTTCCCTCGTTGAATTTACGAGAGTAGAATTCTAACTCCTTTTTAATATCAATTTGAACGTCAAACTGAATCCTTTCTCATAGCCGACATAAGGGTTTTCGAGGAGCCACAACTCCAGCCTACCATGGTGGGACTCGAGTGGGAATCAAATATTTCTTTCTTGGCTTCCGGGAAAGTCATGTGTATGATATGCACCACATTATTGATTTCTCATCGTAAGTTGATGTTTAGGAATATCGATTAATGCCCGAGAAGTGGCAAATAAAGTTCTCCCAAAGATAATAGAGTAATCTCTATAAGTTTGCATCTCTAGTACGACGAAGTCGAGGGAGAACACGATGGGTCCTATCTCGACTCTCAAGTCCCTTTTCATTGTTCACCTATTTTTTAGTTCATTGAGAGCAGTGTCTTGTCTAAAGTGGGGTGGAAATGAGGTTGCAATGTTTTATTTAATGTGTTTATTACATGCTATATGTTTAGTCATTTGTTTTTTAAGTTTTATTCAATATATAATTGTTATGATTAATATGAAAACTTACAAAATGCTGAAGAATTTTTATCCATCTATCGACTTGTTTAGTCATTCACTACAAACATGTTCAATACTCATCGTACTTTGAATAAATGAATTTATGAATTTCACTTGATCTAGGGAGGATAGTGTAGTGACTATGAAGGATATGATTGTCAATGACACACTATGATTAGTTTAGTATGTTTTAAATGTCATGATATTTGATTCGTTATAAATTTCTTATTATCCATTGAGTCTCCACTTTTTCAAAAGTTTTTCCCACTGAGTGAACTACACCTTCTATCAAATGCAAAACCTGCCAAATCTAGACATGAAAGTATCATTTGTGTTTTCCATGCTATGAAAGAAAGTGTGGGGTAAGCCCAACACTTGAGGCATCTATTCATTGCACAACAAGGATTTTGGAAGAGCTACCAGTTAAATTTTTTTTTTGTCCCGCTAGATGCTAGTTCCTCTCTAGTAGTACAAGTACATCTTCTGACACCCCTTGATTCCATTGACCCTCCAATCGAATTGAGAAAAAAGAGTTAAAAAGAAGTACTTTGTCGAATTCAGAGATACAAAATTACTCTTGCTCAACTAATAAGGTCTAATGCTCTAGTAAAGCACTAGATACATGAGCAAAAGAAAAAGAGAAAATGGTTTAGAAAATCAAGCAAATCGAAAAGAGCATATGCTATGCTTGTTGAAAGACAAAAGGGCTAAAGGATATGTCAAAAAGATGTAAAAGCGTTTCCTTTCAATAAATTACGAAACTGAAATTCCCACAGGGGAAGTTCTTGTCGTCGAACTTAGCTGTAAATTTTCTATATTGCTTGAATCCATCCAACAACCACTCACACAACCCTAAAAGCAAACAAATATGAGAAACCAAACCTGAGGTGCTGAAGACAATCATTGAAGGGATCCGTAGCTCAAAAAAATGAAAAATACTAGCTGCATAGATGGAAGAACGCATCGAATCAAAGAAGCCAACAAAATAGTGAGAAATATAACAAACGAGGAACATAAAGAATAGAATAAGACAACGATTTAACGTGGTATCCCGACGAGTCGGGACTAATCCACAGGAGAGCTGGAATCACTCAAGCTACTGTTGTTATTGCTTAGTTCCACACACGACAACAGCCGCTTAAAACTCATATATATACCCTTCTCCAAAGCACCTAGGGTTACATGAGGATCATTATCCTTCTCTACTACGTATGACATGCAGTAAGAGGAGAATGGCGTGTGGGCTGCAACGCTTGACTTGGGCCGAGCGGTGGACTCCTCGTGAAGTGGGGCATGGTTGAGGAACACCAAGTTCATCAAGAAGTCAGCGGAGCCAAAGTACCTCACTCACTGTGCTGGCCATGGCACGGTATTCAGCCTCAGCAGAGGAACGAGCCACAACATGCTATTTCTTGGCGTTCCAGGAAATGGGAGCGCCTCCTAAAGTGATGAAATAACCTGTCGTAGAGTGGCGGGTGCTTTCACAACCACCCCAATCAGCCTCACAATAAGCGGTAAGAGCAAGATCACTGGTACGCGGGAAGAAAATACCTTGACCAGGAGACGACTTGAGATACCACAAAATACGAACAACAACGTCTATATGAGATTGACTAGGAGCGTTAACAAACTGGCTGAGAAGGTTGACCCCATAAGAGATGTCGGGCAGAGTGACGGTCAAATAGAGCAGGCGACCAATAAGACGCCGATACGAAGACGGATCAAGGAGTAACTCGACATCACTAACAGCTCGGGTCAAATGATGGTTTTTCTCAACAGGGAACGCACTTGGGCGAGCACCCTCGACACCCGCATCCTCAAGAATATCCAGGGTGTACTTGCGCTGACAGAGGACCACACTGTCACGAGTGCGAGCTAACTCCATACCCAGGAAGTAGCGAAGATCACCCAAATCCTTGATGCTAAATTGATCATCCAGCGACTTCTTGACTTTAGTGATGAAAGCCAAGTCATTACCAGTGAGGATGACATCGTCCACGTAAATGAGAGCCACAACAAAGGTGCTCCCCCGCCAAAAAATAAACAGAGAGTGATCGACAGGAGAGGATCGGAAACCGAGAGCATAGAGAGCAGTGGTGAATTTGTGATACCAGTTGTGAGACGCTTGTCGGAGGCCATAAAGAGACTTGTGAAAACGACAAACACGTGCGTTGCCAGGTGCTGCAAAACCAGGAGGCAGCTTCATGTAGACTTCTTCCTCAATTTCACCATGGAGGAAAGCGTTGTTGACGTTGAGTTGATGAAGGTACCAACCCTTGCTAATGGCAACATCAAGGAGACAACGAACAGTGACAAGCTTGGCAACGGGCGCGAAAGTGTCATGAAAGTCAATACCTTCGATCTGAGTATATCCCTTTGCAAGCAGACGCGCCTTGTAGCCCTCAATAGTGCCATCCGGACGATACTTGATTTTAAAAACCCACTTGGCTGCAATAGTGTGTTTCCCAGGGGGAAGGGTGACAAGACTCCAAGTACTGTTGCGCTAGAGAGCCTGGATTTCGGCAATCATGGCCGCACGCCATCGGGGATCAGCCCAAGCCTCCTTGAAGGAGCGAGGTTCATCGTGAGTGGTCACTGCAGCAAGAAAATATTGATAAGTGGACTGAAACTTGTCATAAGTAATAAAATCAGAGAGAGGATATGTAACTTGGGTCGAGGTACTTCCCTTTGTGGGCTGATCAGTCAGCGGAGCGAATTGGGTATCATAGAGACCCAAGTTCTTGGGCCAAGAGCGGGCCC